TTATTAAATGAGAAACATATAATGAAGATATATACCATATACCAAGCCCTACTTAGAAATTATAGCTATAAATATGAAAGCAATGTATGTGGTGTCCGTCTTGAGAGGGAAGTTTACATTGTATGTACATGAGTAATTCTCTTTGCCTATAGAATAATTGCAGAGAGAAAATTCTGAGATAAGACCAAAGATAGAACCATTTTCTAGACTCAGACATCAATTATTTAGTATAAAACCATCTTTATATCAATTTTCTCATTTTTTGCATCAATTCTGCCCTACAGCCTGAAAATATAAAATGATGGGAACGATTATGATTAATATTTTGTAGAAGACAATAGAGGATAAGGGAGTTTGCCCAACGTGCTTTAGAGCATAAAGCGAGTCCTTGCTGTTTTAATTTCTGTCAAGCAGCCTCAGAAATAAAATCAGCATTTTAGAAGTGGGAGGGGCTCCAAGATATCTTGAAACCAAACTATGTATTCATCAAAGCAGTAATGTGACTTGTCTCAGAACCACAATTATTATTTAGGCTGGGTGAATCGCATGCCAATTCAGCACAGAGAATATTGTGATGTTTGTTTATGGTTCATACAGATAAAACCAATTATTTTGTCATTCCCAATGCACTTACCTTGTCAGCTGGGATCCCAGCTGAAGCGTAAAACAACCCCACCCTACTCAGTGTTTCCTGGCAGCTTCCATGGTTCCTAGTATTCTCCCTCCTTGAAGGAGATATTCTCTTCCTAAATCAGAATATTTCTGCCAAATGGTATGACAAAGAGGTCTCTATGTGTTCACTGAACTGCAAGGCTTGTGAGCAATGGAGGCCTTCAAAAAGTGCCTGGATGTCCATTGAATGATAAGAGCATCCTTGGGAAAGTTGACAAACTACTTTACAAAAATGGCTTTGGTGTTTAGTGGAAAAACCGCAGGCCAGGGATCTAATGGCCTTGGAAGCCAGCCCTATATTTGTGTGCTTGTTTTCCTGTGGGTAAAAGTGTGGCCTAGACATATTCCCCAGATGTGCACTCCATGAGGCTCAGGCAGGAATGTGGTGTGCAAACATTCACTCCACAGCATGGCGTCCAGAGAATTTTGGACTAGTCATAGAAAAGAGCACTAGTGGTTTCTCAGAAAGAAAGTGTCTTGTCCTCACCAGGATCCATAGGGAGCCTTGAATCCTGATGTTCTCACTGAATTTGTCCATCAAGTTAAGAAAATTCTGATCTTTATAATCAAAACGTTTCTTGAAAATAATGGAGCAGATCACATTGCAGGGAGCACAGCCCAGGATAAAAGTGGGATCACACGGTGAAGCTAAAAAATTGAAAACAATTTAAACATGCACATGTAAAACAATTTGACTATATTGAAAGTAAAGGAAATTTAGAAGTTTTCTTTCCTATAAATTCCCTGAAGAGCAAAAAAGAATTCAGCATGCATAAAATGAACACATCACCCTTACCTTAAACCTCAGTTGACCATTACAATCTCACTAGTTAAATAATATTTCAAATGCTCGATTGACATCTTCTGCCTTTATTTATACCCTTTTAACCCAAGGTGTCTGTTATTTTGGAAGAAAATTTAAAAGTTTTTAAAAACCTAGTAATTCAAGTTTTCAAAGCCGAATCGCATCTGTCTAAACTGTCTGTAGACCATAAAGCTTTGAGATAAAAAAGAGAGAGAGGATACTTGAGGACCTGGAAACTGTTTACATACACTAAATAGCTGAAAGAATCATGCGTTGAGCCAAGAGAGAGGAACCAAAGAGAGAGAGACTGTGTCTGAATTTATGTATTTGAAAGAAGTATGAAAAGCAGAATGCATCCATGTTATATGAAAAGAGAAACTCATATAAATGAACAGCAAGTATAAGATGGATTTGTTTGTCTAAAAAAAAGAAATGTGAAATTTCTATTTAAAATACAAATTCCAGGTAAGGAAAATTTAAAAAGTAAAGTGATAAATGGTGTCTTCTTATTTATCATTTCAATTTTAAAAAAGAAAATGAATTCCTTTCTTCAGGAAGTAAATTTCCATCATCTCCAATTATTCTCCAAATTTAATTTATTTGGCAAAGCTACACTTTTGTGGATTATGGGATATTGTTCTGCATAGCCATCAAAGGAATGTTACGTTTTAGCAAATTTTGTCTATGAGTTAGTCCAAATCAATCATTTTCCAGATTAAGAAATTAAGTTATAGGAAAGGGGGGGATTGTTTGTTTGTTTGTTTTGTTTGTTTTGCTTTTTATGGTGAGTCTACAAAATGAATTTCTTATACCCAAACGATCAAAGAACTTTATATGTAAAGAGCTCCCAAATTCACACAGCCTTAGTAGAGGTGATTTGAATCAAANGGTTTCTCAGAAAGAAAGTGTCTTGGCCTCACCAGGATCCATAGGGAGCCTTGAATCCTGAAGTTCTCATTGAATTTTTCCATCAAGTTAAGAAAATTCTGGTCTTTATAATCAAAACGATTCTGGAAAATAATGGAGCAGATCACATTGCAGGGAGCACAGCCCAGGATAAAAGTAGGATCACACGGTGAAGCTAAAAAATTGAAAACAATTTAAACATGCACATGTAAAACAATTTGACTATATTAAAAGTAAAGGAAATTTAGAAATTTTCTTTCCTATAAATTCCCTGAAGAGCAAAAAAGAATTCAGCATGCACAAAATGAACACATCATCTTTACCTAAAACCTCAGTTGACCATTACAATCTATCTAGTTAAATAATGATATTTCAAATGCTCGATTGACATCTCCTGCCTTTATTTATACCCTTTTAACCCAAGGTGTCTGTTATTTTGGAAGAAAAAAAAAAGTTTTTAAAAACCTAGTAATTCCCGTTTTCAAAGCCGAATCGCATCTGTCTACAATGTCTGTAGACCATAAAGCTTTGAGATAAAAAAGAGAGAGAGGATACTTGAGGACCTGGAAACTGTTTACATATACTAAATAGTGAAAGAATCATGTGTTGAGCCAACAGAGAGGAAACAAAGAGAGAGAGACTGTGTCTGAATTTATGTATTTGAAAGAAGAAGTATGAAAAGCAGAATGCATCCATGTTGTATTAAAAGGGAAACTCATATAGATGAACAGTAAGTATTAAGATGGATTTGTTTGTCTAAAAAAAAGAAATGTGAAATTTCTATTTAAAATACAAATTCCAGGTAAGGAAAATTTAAAATGTAAAGTGATAAATGGTGTCTTCTTATTTATCATTTCAATTTTTAAAAAGAAAGTGAATTCCTTTCTTCAGGAAGTAAATTTCCATCATCTCCAATTATCCTTCAAATTTAATTTATTTGGCAAAGCTACCCTTTTGTGGATTTTTTATATTGTTCTGCATAGCCATCAAAGTAATATTACGTTTTAGCAAATTTTTGTCCATCAGTTAGGCCAAATCTATCATTTTGCAGATTAAGAAATTAAGTTATAGGAAAGTGGGGTTTTTTTGTTTGGTTGGTTGTTTTGTTTTGTTTTTTTGTTTTGCTTTTCATGGTGAGTCTACAAAATGAATTTCTTATACTCAAGTGATCAAAGAACTTTGTATGTAAAGAGCTTGCAAATTCACACCAGACAGCCTTAGTAGAGGTGACTTGAATCAAAAGTGTTCTGAATAAATGGTAGGGCATGGAACNGTGTGTGTGTGTGTGTGTGTGTGTGTGTGTGTGTGTGTGTGTGTGTGTGTGTGTGTGTGTGTGATTCACAGGTAAGGTCTGACTTTTAGTCTTTCACTTCATTTGGAAGAGAAAACTTAAAAACAAGGAATTTGAAAACTAAGCTGATAATCAGATTCATTACGACAAACAGTTCATACTTTAGTAGAATTGGCAGCCAGAGGAAAATAATTAGAATAAATATTTAACTAAAAATCCAGTGAACATGAGGCATAGAGTTATGAAAATTGAAAAGAGAGCCAAGATACAATTAGGGAAGACAGAGTGAAGAGTAACTGATAATTGTAGAAATCTAGTTAAATAAATATCTTTTTAAATTTCCATTTCCATATATTAGAAATTATGTCCTAGCATATATTTGCTCAAAATAAATAAATCAGTACAGTAATTAGTGGGTAACAAGAAATAATTAATGCTGGCTGCTTTTAAATAGTGTGGTGTTTACAGAGAAATAATAACTGATGAGAATTGTGGTGAGACATGCCTAAGCAATTAAAACCCTAAATGGCATCATTAGTGGACAGAACAGGCACCGCCCTGAAAGAAACCCCCAGATATGTCAGCGATGCTCGTGGTACAAATATAGCCCAATTGAATAAAATAATATGTGACTTTGTTCCAGCTACATAAGGGTGTGATGCGGTCATTCACACTATGTCTGGTCTCCAAGTATTTTCTGGTGAAATGTTCCGGAATAGGTAACCCATGTGTGTGCTACGGGGAAAACAGTTCTCATTAATTCTTCCAGAAATTAACTCAAACCTATTTTATGATTTCTGATTTGAAGTGAAAGAAACAAAGGTCGGAAGAAAATAGGATTAAACCACACTCTACACACAATTGTACCCACACACACAATACACATACACAAAAGCTCCCTCAGTCTCTGCTTCAAAGCAGCCCTCCTCCACGTGAGGGCTGACCACCACTGCCTGTAATGAAAGATCTAGCTGCTCCTGAGATGTTTCCAAGGATGTCACTGCAGGAGAGAGCAGTCTGTTAACGTCAGCACTACAGAGCAATGAGGCACCCACCGTTGGTTTTTCTCAGCTC